GAGAATGGAGAACTGTTTGCAGATTTCTGTGCATTCAACGATTTGGTGATTGGAGGCGAGGCAGTGTGTACAAACACAAGGATATTCACAAAGCGAGCGACATGCATTCGATTTCACAAGACACAAGGACACACTACACTAAAAATCAGATCGACTTCATCTCGGTGTGAAGAAAGAGGAGATGGAGGGAGACACAGCCAGCCTACTGGACACAAGATGAGATCAAGAAGAGGAGCAGATGTCGGTAGGTTCACACCACTCACACCACTATCTAGTGTGAGGAACCTACCTTCAAAATCAAGTTGAAGGCCCTCAATTCAAAGAAGTTGGTGACAGACGACCACAGTTCAAGTTGAACACTCACAACAGAAACTGAAACTGAGGGACGAAACTATGAAGGACATCTTCACGTCAGTCAGTTATCAGGACGAAATAGGAGACATTGAGCAACATCCCCATCACCGAGGAAACCTGCGTGCAAGGACACTGGAACTCTTTGAAAGCCATGTGGAAAGAAACCTGCATAACCGTATTAGGAAGGAAGAAGAAGAGGCAAGACAAGGCAAGACAAGACAAGACAAGACAAGACAAGGAATGGATCTCGACGGACACATGGAAGCTGGAAGAGTAGAGAGAGGAAGATTGTGAGATGGTGAAGCGGAAGATGAACCAGTGCAGTGTAGGGATGCGCAACGAGAAGAGGAACTGAGTACAACCTATGAAACACTACATTGGACAAAGAAGTGAAGAGGAGTGCACGGAAAGACGCAAGACACTTCTACGACACATTGCCAAGTAAAGCCGAACAGGCTGCAGGTAGGAGAGACAGAGACCTGACAACACTATATCAAATAATCAGGTTACTATCTGGGAGGGGAGAGAGAGATCAACTCAGACGAGACCAATGAAAGATGCTAGTGAAGGGAAGCTAGTGATCAAAGAGGAGGAGAAACGAAGGAAACGATGTGCTGACCACTTCAAAAATCTCTTGAATCGACCACCACCACCACCACCACCACATGCAAGTTGTCCAGAAATACCACCAGCAGTCCAGTCACAGAACTACCAGTGAACACAGGCTCTCCGACAAAAGTAGATGTCCGGAATGCCATAAAACTGCTGAAATCTGGCAAAGCAGCAGGACCAGATGGAATTCCTCCAGAAGCACTGGATGGATGGATGGATGGATGGATGGAAAGGTAGCTGGCCACTGATTGGAAGAAGGGTGAACAAATCTGAGTCTTTGCAAGAACTGGTGAGGAGTCATGCTACTGTCCCTGTCCATCCGTAGCAAGCAAAATATTGAGCCGCATCATCCTGTAGAGAGATTAAAACAACATGTTGTGGATTCAAAATTACGACCGGAACAAGCCGTCTGGCTGACTGGATTGCTTCAGCGAGAACAAATCATGTGAAGATCGAATCGTAACGTAACGCTTCGCCACGCATCATCATACAACACAGCAAAGAATGAATGGCAGTCAACTCAATTCAACCTCAAATTCATCGACTTTGAAACTGCCTTCGATACCGTCGACCGAGAAGTAATTTGGCAGACAGATGCTTCAACACTACGCTTTTACTGCCACAAATCTTTGTCAACCTCATTGAACACCAGCTATATACTGTATGATGCTACACACCAAGTGATTCACACTACAACGGAAAGCTCAGAGATGCCTTTGAAGTGGAAGTGAAGTCAGGAGTAATTCAACTGTTGCCGCCTACTGTCACTGGTGATCTTCCTGATTGTAGTGGACCAGATCATACAAGAAACTGTGAGGAGCGAGAAGATGGGCATACGCTGACTGGACGGATGGAAAGACCCTAGAAGAAGTTTTGCATTTCACCACCGATGATGATTTATGTCTAATGTCTTGTCGCACAAGCTCGATGATCTACAGGCGAAAAGTAAGAAGTTGGCAGAAGAGGTGAGTGAGGCAGCGAAGACGGGACTTCCTTCGAGTGAATGTAGAGAAGACAGAGGTGGAGGTGATCAAGATACCCAACCAACAACAGCATCAGCATCAACAACAAGCAGCAATCACCATGAACGGGAGAAACTGAAATCAAGTTGTCTCACTCACCTACCTAGTCGAGGCAGCATCGTTTCAACTACAGGTGGTGGTGGTGGTGGTGGTGGTGGCGGCGGTGGCGGTGGCACAGATGAGGACGTCAAAGAAGTCGGGATCTGAAAGACAGACAGCAAGACAGGTCTGCCTTCATTCACCTGAAATCAGTGTGGAGACCTACTGCACTGCGTTGCACTGCACTGCACTGCACTGCACTCAGCATAAAGCGTCAACAACATCCGGATTTGCAACACCAATTCAGTCAAGTAAGTCGGTGCTTCCATGTGATGTTTCAGATACTTGGTGGTGCGTTACGATAGGCATTTCCAACAGACTACTGACATTCATCAACAGCTGCCGCCTACACTGCCTCGATACCGAAGATCAGATGGGTTGCGAGAATAATAAGAATAAGCAAGAAGGAACTCACTCTGTCGTGCCAACGAAGCAACCAGGAAGGTATCGTCCAAGAAATATGCAGAAGAGAGTGTAGATAGATTGGACTGGGCATACACTAAGAAGGCCGATTGGAGACATCGCGTGCCAAGTCAGGCCATCGAGTGGAACCCACATGAAAAATGACTATTTGGGCGTTTTGGGCGATGGTGACATGGAGTAGATGGTGTGAGGAGTAAATGAAAGCTCCTGTGCAGTGGTGGCACCAGGTTCAGGAGACTGTAGAGAAGAGAGTGCAATGGGTGCATGCTACTGAAGCCCTGTTTTTCACTAGGATCCCAAGGGAAAAATAATAATATATAATTACATCGCGTACTCACTGATGGCACTACGTTTTAGCTGTCTTAAATTATGATTGTTTTAAATGAAGAAATATTGTAATTTACACCGATTCTGAAAAGCTAATCATTTAGTCCTTCACACAAGTAAACGAACATTCTAGTCTCACACCAGTGTCCGTCATAATTCTGGCATGGATACAATGAGTGTCTGTTGGTCTCCATCAAAGTGTGCCACTTATAGCGACAGCGAAATATTGAGTTGCCTTCTCAGCAGTTGATTCTGTTACCCTTCGTGGTATTAGCTACTCATCATGAAAAAATCATGTTATTAATATGGAATTTAAGATAGGCAACTTAGATAAAAAGGGTAAGTCACTTGGCTTAGCTGTAAGTCTCCACCAACTCAGTCATCTGAGACATGTGTTACGCGTGCATATTTACTTTCTTTCTCAACAAGTTGTGTTAACCGAAGTAGGACTAGGTCGTAGAAAAGGGAAGGGCGAAACTGAAACCTCTGACAGTTGTGTTCAGCCGTGAAAATAAATGTGTACATCAATGTCAGGGTGCAAGTGATGACAGAAACCGGTGACTACGGACTGTCGCTGATACACATCAGAATGAATTATAGCAATATAGATGCATCCACACCTCATCTTTTAACTAGTTGTCAGATCAAATTTCAATATTTTCAGCATACTTTTTTTCCGATGTCTTTTTGCAACGCTTAACTACGCGATTTTCTTTCCTTTGTCTTCTGTTTTGTCAGCCTGTACCTTAGTGTCGTGCCGTGAGGTAATCTCTACAGTCCTACAGAAATGTCAGATCCATTAGTAACACTAGCTGACTTGACTGACCAATCTTAAAACCAGCAATAGTCATCATATTTTTATTGCAAAGTTCATTTTTGAAACGTATAAGTGACTAATACTAGAAATTTGGACTACATCGACTAACAACTCCATTCTACCTTGATTTACATAGATCACAGCTACAGTAGTATCATGTTAATGTCGGCGAACACAAACACATGAATATAGCCGTTCAACGTCTATCAAGGTCATATTAAAATTGATATGATCATAACAAAACGAACCACCTTTAAATCAGTTTCACTTTAGCTGATCATATTTTTCACTTATCGACTTACTTAACATTTTGAATACTGATTTTGAGATAATAGAATAATCAGTATAGATAAAAGCTCGGAGGTTTACAATAAATTGACATCGAAAATGTATCACGAGAAAAATAACCTAGTGAAAAAGCATATGACCCCGGGTCAATTGACAAATAGACAGACAGAGTTAATATAAAATCTGTCATCACTGCTCAACTGTTTCATTTACTAAAACTTTACGTCAGCATAAAGAACGGAAAGTTGACAGCGGGTAGGACAGTAAAATGAAGATAAAAGGTGAAATTTCGAATAATTGAAAGGTGAAGCAAAATCAAATTGTTACTGAGGACAAAACACAACGCCTAATTTCATTTATGTCATCAGCCTTTTTTAAAATATCTTTACCAGTGACTCGACAGAGCCTGAATTATATATGTGTGAGGACTTCAGATCCCCCCTTAATAGTCACTCAGTTTGTCCGTAAGTGGAAAAGGCGGTAACAGAATAGAAAATGTATTTACTACGCCAACGATATATACAAACTACAAGGCTTATATATATTACAATGGTCTACGCTATTTTCAGGCCTACTAGATTAAAATTCGATTGATTTTTTATCTCTTCAACCAATCTGATACTTGCAAGTTAGTTCACGTGTTTTTTCCCGAAATTTTGAAGTAAAGCGATTGGTTGAAAAAAGTTGAAAAGAGGTTCATGAAATACAGAGAATGATAAACATGCAGTCTGTGCAGCTGTTTCATCGAATATTCCAGAGATGTCAATCGTAAGGGTGGAACTCTTACAGAGGTAAACAGTTAGCGCCTGAACTAACTCATTTGCTTTTCGGATGATTCTCATCTGCATTATCATAAAACACAACTACATACACTAAAGACAGTGGAATATGAATACCAAAGATAAATTGTATCAGATTATGAGGTTATGGTTGACATTAAACAGTTTCGCTTTCGCATGAAGTCAGTAAACCACTTCAATTAATCCAGTTATTTTCTAATAACCAGTAAGCTAGTCAGAAAAGTTTATAGTCGTATAAACATGTTTCAGTTTACTTACCAAGCAAATCCATGTATAACATAAAGCACTCGTCTTGGCAATTTTCGCATGAAGTGGATTACGAAAGTGAAATAAACGTGATCTAGGTTGAGAAATTGTTACTGATTCTCCGACTTCATCCATAACAGTATATCAATCAAACTATAAAATTTAGAAGAATATCTTTTGAAATTAAAGTTAATCTTCGAGTATACACGTATTGAAATCCCAAAAATATCAAGGTCATACCTACATTTTACAACAGCCAGTTATGTGTCTAGTCAATATATTTACGAATTTTTTATTGGCGTTTGTAGATCAACCAATCATAACAGAGGTGGAAAGGACATAAACAGTCTGTGAGTAATTAACTTTTTCTACATAGACAAAACAAAAGAAAGACATGATGTTATTATTGCATCACTGAAGAGACAACTGTCAAACGGTCTCTAAGTTTTGATGGTTGGTAGTGAATTAAAAAAAGTTATTAGGTCACATTTCTTCATCTGGTAAATTTAAAGCAGTGAACACAATTTATTGACATTTAGTCAAATATTTTCTTGACATACGAAAACTTTTAACTGTATACTTTCGTAAAACTATGACAGAATGTTAAATAGTTATCTTACTCATCATAAGATATTTATAATCTTTGTTGTCTACTTGATAACGTTTTAATACCTAAGATTTAAATAACCAAGTCTTGATTTTTGCGTGATCCAAAACAGAAATTAAGTAAGATCGAATGAAATTGTCACAGGAAAGAATAAAGCGTTTCTGAAATCTCAACATCTAAATAAAAGTGGAAAAATTTCATGGTTTTTTCCTCGATAAGACTATAGGATATCATCCAGAAGGTCACCATTGATATAGGATCATGGCAATATTGCCTAACAATTCAGATTACCACAGCTAGAGAGAAACACTAAAAAGTAATCGAAATTCGTAGCTAGTCATAAAACGAAAAATGTGGACTGCCCATAAGAATGAAGGCGATGTGTGGATGCATTTACGGTACTGAGATCAATTTTGAATGACACTATCTGTAGTCTCTACATATTCCTATATGGTTCAGGTGGACAGTTAGAGACTTTATAAACTGAAGGTATGTTTTAGTCACAGTTCATTCGCTCCTTTAACAACCTATAACTACTTAGCTTCAAACTGCGTAGTAGACGGCGTCTGGGCATACATGATATGTATCCTACTCACCTCAGCCGATAGAGGTTCATTTACCTAAGACTATTGGTTTGACCCCTACATGAAATCACTGTTGCAAAGAAGGTTGTGAAAGAACACCTGAAACATCCTCATCATATTATCCACCTCTAACAGTCCCAAAAAGATGTGATTTACCAGAATCATGGATGGCATTCAAATGAATCATTCCCAAAAACCTACTTTCTGCCGACATTTATTTTGGAATCAGAAGAAATTTTACCGTAGGATTTCAAACATTTGAAGATTCCCATAACATTAACTGAAAAACGAAGATACAACGAATAAAGAAGAAAGGAGTGGAGTTTACTTTAGTGAAGGCCGAAGGAGAAAGGAATAACGTTTTAACATGTTCTTCCTGAGTGCAAATTACAGTTATGATCAATCTAACTGCAACAGGATCAGCTATATAAAGCAGGCGCTCTACCAGTGGCGTTGCTTTTGGCACAGTGTATTATACTGAAAGCCATATTACCATCTGTGCGATGCCATGTGTTTACCACGTGCGCTAGAACAGAACGTTTTAACACCTTTACCTTTCCCAAATCAAGCCGATTAATATTCGATTATCCCGAAAACGCACCTGCCTAGTAATACGCCCCACTCAAACCTATGAAATCAGTAATCCCCATGCACTTATTGTTTACCTGATAATACTTTACTTCTTACAATACTAGTGTTTTCATACCTGATAGATTAGCGAATAAACTTTTCAGTAAAAAATAAATATGTACATTTTGTCTTATCAGACAAATAGATGAAATAAGCGCTGTAAAAATAAGAGTTATGCATTCTCTTAATTTAAACTACCTGTCCATCAGTATCAAGGTGAAAATAAGCATTTTAACATAGCTTATTATAATGAGAAGGTTAGATGGCTGAGTAGTAATGCCAGTAGTTTCATGTAGGAAAGATTTTGTGTATGTGTTTCATTGTTTTATGTTACCCGTCGTGAAAGAATGTTTCTGCTGTTCTAAAAACCAAAGATGACATTCATCAACAACTGCCTACGATGGCTCGTTACTGAAGCTCAAATAGCCAGAATAATAAGAATAAGCAACAAGGAACGCTGGCCTGTCAGTGGACCAACCAAGAACCTATTACCCAACAAATATGCAGAAGGAATTGGAGATGGATTGGGTATACACTGAGAAGGCCGACTGGGGATATCACGCGTTAGACCAGGCACTCAAGTGGAACCCAGATGGGAAAAGACGAGTTGGGCACCTGAGGTGAGGGTGAAATGGAGGAGATTGTGTGAGGAAGAAATGAGAGCTTGTGAGCTGTCGTGGAGCTAGGTTCAAAAGATTGCAGAGAAGAGCGTGGAGTGGAGACGTGCTACTGAAGGTGTATATTCCACTAGGAACCCAAAGGACAAATAATAATAATAATATAAAGGCCAAAGATGGACTAAGAGATGAGATGAGGAATTCACAGATTACGTAGGTATCCAGATAATACGTGTTAATATCATTGGCATACTGACAGTTTTCGGTTGATTGACAGGCTTATTTCTCTTCTTCTTGTATTCTTCACTCCTCTATAATATTCTCCATGATATGTGTAACACGCGTCTTACCTTTTGTAGTCCGTCTCCAACTGCTTGTTCATAAAGTATGTCACCTAATTATATTTGAAATCATTCAGGCATAAGCTCGAATCCTGTATAACAGTAAGTGATTACTTTTAATACTAACCAGAATTTAACAACCATTTTTTTTCATCGAATGGGAAGTTGACGCCTTTTTTAACACCTTACTTTATTAAGCAGTTTTTCCACCATAAAACTAACTAAAGAATCTATAGATCTTGTAAAATGCGGTGTCATTGCAAACTGTATCTCGCATTCTGAGTATCAGTATATAATGTTATGTAGATTGAAATAGAGTTTTCATTACTTTGTTTGTAACTCATCCAATGAAATTATTTTTGATGAGATCAGAAATTATCTTACCATTGCGGTGTCACTTTCATACTTACTGCTTTTTCAGAAGTATGTGAAAGTTTCTTTACAACGATATGTTGTCTTTGAAATTTCTTATTGAAAAAAAGTGATGAAACCTGACAAAATAAGATATTATTTTTATGAGAAGTTGATTTCAGTTGTTTAATATGCTAAGGTGAGAATGTGTATCAACTTAAAAGTCGCATAAATTCAAGTCCAGCAATCAAATTGTTGCGTCACGCATTACTAGGTTCTAGTAATATGTTTAATATAGTATTAAAAACACTACACAAAGCTTAACTTCTATTTAGTTGGTAGTTTGTATCAATTTACGTGTAACAGGAATGCAGAGACAAAAAAGCAAGTCTTCGCCTGTTTTTTTGGTTTGAAACCTTGCATCTTTCTCAGTAATGAAAGAATTTCACATAGCTTGCTGATAGAAACCAAACCTGACAAACGAAAATATTATAACTAATAACTACTAAACAGTAGAACTCAAGTGGATCTGACTTATGGCAATCCTCATATCCAAGATCATAAAAAATTATATTTATGTTTAAGAACATGTTGAACATGAACAAAATAAGTAGGAAGTCTGATCGGGTGATTGTCTAAAAGAAATCAATATTCATGAAGCTTCAATTCAAAGGGGACACACCTGGTGAAGTTCTTTTCTACAGGCTGTCTACAGCCATTAGAAGAACGTTTTATGCTACTAAATTCTGCTTATCATTTTCTAGTCGGCCGATAATTGTTGCCTAGATAAAAGACAAGCTACCTAGTTCTGCCACTTCTATGTGCATTTATCAGTTCAGCTGCTCCTGCGGAGAAAGCCATATTGGGCGTACAACTATGCAGCTTAAGAAATGTGTTGCAGGGCACCTGCCGTTATGGCTAAGAAAGGGACAAGTGAACTCAATACGAAGTTCAATCTTGTCATAGTTAGTCGACAGTGGTTGTGTAATAGACAAGACCGAAGCGTTCAAGATCATCTATCGCATCCCACAAAATCTTTAGAACAGAATTCGCATCTGCATTTTACATATAGCTGAGGTTATGGGAATTAGAGAAAACAAGCGTAGTCTTTGTTTGCAAAAAACGTTTGTGCAGCCTTGGACACCCCTTTCATACGTTTATTTATTTGTTTAGACTTTGATTATCTAGACATTTCATCCTTTGGTTACAATTTGACTATCTAAGATAGCCGTAATTTGGCAGACTAGTATTTGTACTGAGTGATCGCGGCCGGATTCGAATAAAATCACTCTTTAGTATTACGTAACTTTTATTTTTCTAAGGTTTAATCGACATTGTTTGTTTAAATATTTACAGTATCATGCTGTTCCCATTGCTCTGAGATAACTATTATTATTATGGTTGTCTAGATATCTACTATTTGCATGCTTCATTTTCTAATTACCACAGGCTAAATAATTCACCATGATTGGTTTAATGTTGTATATATGAGGAAATTTATGCATATTAGTCTACATTCAATCTATATGCACCTTATAAACGATTTAAACTCTTACGTAACCCTTTTGATATCATTCGACCTTTACGTCACCAACTAACAACATTATAATTATAACCACCATTATTATTGTTTCCAACCCCATTATTTAAGTTAAATCTTCCTCACGGATTACAGTCTTAAATATCATATATATACAAATGTACAACTTGAGAAAAAATCCGTTGAAAACAGTCCCTTTCTCTGAATATCTTGTTTTCTATTAGCGTAAAGCCTGATGAGAGCTAATTGAAAACAATATTCTTCGCTTATTTGTCTTCTTCCAAATGTATATGAGATTGGACATTTGAACGACAACCTTCAGATTCCAATCTTGATGGTCGCATATTTCCTTGGCGAATGGAAAAGGCGGTAAGATAACAAAATTTGTGTTGCATTATCAAAATATGTACAAAATATAGGGGTTTACAATGGTCACAGTTAATTCTAGGCCTTTCTAGGAAGACA